AGTTCCAGTTCAGATGCAGTGCAGATGGATTTAGAACAACAGCCAGTAGCTTCTGAGAGAGGTGAAAGTTCAAATCCAAGACCTGGTGATTCTATTCCAGATGATCTGCAGAATTATAATCTAGCCAGAGATAGACAGAGACGCACCAATGTAAGGCCTCCTAGCAGATTGGGTTATGAAGACTTGGTCTCTTGTGCACTTCTCATCAGCAGCGATGATCCAACCACTTTTCAAGAGCTATCACTAGCCAGGAGAAAGAGAAATGGATGGATGCAATGGTTGAGGAGATGGAGTCTTTGCAGAAAAATCGCACTTGGGAGCTAGTTCAGCTTCCAGAGGGAAAGAAAGCCATTGGGTGCAAATGGGTCTACAAAAGGAAACCAGCAGTATCAGAAAAATAAGGGGAAAAGTTCAAGGCTCGACTGGTTGCAAAGGGGTTTTCACAGCAGAAGGGGATAAATTATGATCAAATCTTTTCTCCTGTGGTCAGACATACTTCAATCAGGGCAGTGCTTGCATTAGTAGCTATTTGGGATTTGCATTTGGAGCAGATGGATGTTAAAACTGCTTTCTTGCATGGTGATTTGGAGGAGCAGATTTACATGGAGCAACCGGAAGGGTTCACTCAACCTGGACAGGAGCATCTAGTTTGCAGGTTAAAGAAATCGATGTATGGGTTGAAACAGTCTCCAAGACAATGGTACAAGTGGTTTGACTCCTACATGATGCAGATTGGCTACAGGCGATGTGAGTATGATTGCTGTGTTTATGTGAGAAGCCTTGATGATGGTTCTATTATTTTTCTGTTATTGTATATTGATGATATACTGATTGCTGCAAAGAATATGAGTGATGTACGTGGCTTGAAAGCTTTATTGAGCCAGGAATTTGACATGAAAGACTTGGGTCCTACGAAGAAGATTCTTGGAATGGAGATTCATCGAGACAGAGGCTCAAGACGTTTATGTCTATCTCAACGAGGCTATGTTGAGAAAGTGCTGGAAAGGTTTGAGATGAGCAATGCAAATCCTGTGAGCACTCCTTTGGCAAATCATTTTAAGCTTTCTTCAGAACAGTGTCCTAAGACTGATACAGAAATTGAAGACATGGCAAAGGTTCCATATGCAAGTGCAGTTGGCTGCTTGATGTACGCTATGGTATGTACTCATCCTG